CAAGAGACCGCTCATGACAATGCAGTGTGTGGAGGGGCGCGAGGCGCTCAGCCTGGGGGCTAACTTCTGGCAGGATTCTGGAGGAGAGGAAGACTAGCCACGACCACCTGAGTTCAGCAGGGAGTGTGGAGGCCAACGCACAGGGCCAGGCACCAGCCGGGGGAAGCAGCCCCTGCCCCTCAGACAGCTGTGCTCAGCTCTGCCCCACGGCTCCCGGCCCACTCCCCTCTTCGCCTCTTACCTTCTCTCTGGTTTCCTCCCACCAGTTTGACTTTGGGGACACCATGGTCCACCAGGCCATCCACACAATCGAGTACTGCCTGGGTTGCATCTCCAACACTGCCTCCTACCTGCGGCTCTGGGCCCTCAGCCTGGCCCACGCACGTGAGTATAGCCCACCACGACCCAGAACCTTGCTTCTCTGCTGCGGGGAGGGGGGCGGGGGTGGAAGGGCCTGCTCAGGTGGGGTCTAAGCACAGTGGATTCAGTGAGGGTCTGGAACTCCTCGGGCTCCTGAGTCTAGGGAACACAGGCTCAGGTGGGCCGTCAGTGCGGCGGGCGGCAGGCTGCTCTCGCTGCGTGCTCCCACTCAGGCGGCTGTTGTCTCCCGTCCTCAGAGCTGTCCGAGGTGCTGTGGACCATGGTGATCCACATGGGCCTGAGTGTGAAGAGCCTGGCCGGGGGGCTGGCTCTCTTCTTCATCTTCACTGCCTTTGCCACCCTGACTGTGGCCATCCTCCTGATTATGGAGGGTCTGTCGGCGTTCCTGCATGCACTGCGGCTCCACTGGTGAGTGTGTGTGCGCACGTGCATGCGTGCATGCATTGGGGGGGGGGGAGGCTAGTCTTCTGTCTTGTACAGGATCCAGTCTCTTCCATGGGCCAAGGCGGCCAGCCAAGCAGGAAGTGCCTGCTTTCTCCCTGCACCCAAGGCCCACTTGAGTAGTGGACGTCAGAAAGGTCGATGGGAAGGGACAGCCCACTTAGGAAGTGGGTGCATCCCTCCGCCCGGAGCTTAAAAGGAGCCGCTGTGCTGGAGGGTGTGCAGTGACTTGTGGCTGGGTTTGGGTCTGCCCTTCTTGTTCTGGGAGAGGGTCTAACTCTCTCCCACTTCCAGAGTCACGAGAGCAGCTCTGAAACAGTCTGTCAGGAAAAGGCTCGAGCCCCCTGCACCCCAGCTGTGCCCCCTTGTGCTCTTGGTCCTTTGGCAAAGACCCCAGCAGCCCTGTTGTGCCGGGGCAGCGGGGGGGGGTCCCCTGATTCTGTAGTGTAGCTCAGTGCACCAAAGCTGCTGCTTCAGATAGGTGGGTTGTGTGTGTGTGTGTGTGTGATTCAGCCATATTTGGCACTATGGTTCAAACCCGCCAGTCGCTCTGCAGAAAAAAGATGGGGCAGTCAACCCCTATAAGGGTCATAGCCGGGGGAGCTGGGAGGGGGGGCAGTTCTACTCTGTCCTACAGGCTCCCAGGGAAGCTCCATGAACTCAGAGGTGACGGGTTGGGGTGACTCTTAATGACTGCATGACAATGGCCCGGTCCCCAGGAACAGGAGAGCTGGGGAGCTGTGACCTCCCACGAGGGCAGCCAGACTTATCACCCAAAGTCATCATGCCCAATTAAATTCTATTTCAGATGAACAATGCATACTTTTAAGAATATGCATACGCCCCAGAGGAAGCACAAGGCACCTGAATACTGAAACTGGGAGGCCTCTGTTTCATCTGGCACCTTACCTCAAAGAAGCCATTCTCTGGGGCTCCCTTTCCCCCCTGGGTTGGGATTCGTCTTTTGGGAGGGGCTCCGTCCCAGTGCCTCTGGCAGCTCCCGACCCTTCTCCCAGAGACACGCCAGCTTGGAGATGGTGAACGCGCTGGCCCCTGGGACACACTAGACGAGCGGGTCTTGGTGGCTTTCCTGGTCTCAGGAGAAAGACAACCTGAACCTCAACCTGAGCAAACTCCCACTGAGCAAAGATCACACACCACCGCCACCCCTCTCTCTCTCTCTCTCTCTCTCTCTCTCTCAGCTGGTGGTGGTTCTAAATTAGAGGGGGAATTGGAGACATGTAAGGGCAAGAGCCTTATGCTTCCTTGAGACGCCCCTGCAGCTGCCTCCGTGGGCCCTGCTTTCTGCCTCTTCCTCCCGCCCCCTTGTGTTTCCCGTGGAGCCCGTGGGTTGGGAGCGGTGCGTGCTTCCGACTGCTGGCACGCTGCACCGTCCCCAGCTTATCAGCATCCTCCACGCAGCACACTTCCTCAGCTGCCCGGTGGGAGGGACGTCTGACTCAGCCCGTGGTGACTCACTTTTCCTTGTCCTCTTGGCTCCCTTCTTTTCCTGTTCGTTTCTCTGTCCCCAGCCCCGGAGCTGCGGGAGACGTTTCCAGCCCACTTTGACTGCAGCCCAAGGAGGTTGCCGCCTCCCAGGCAAGAACTGGCAGCAGCCACCTCATGAGCAAGGCACACTGGGGCACAGGGAGGGTGGCCTGGCCTGGCCTGGGTCTGGCCTCCCGGGCTTGGGGCTCACCCCACTGTTCAAGTCCAGAGCGAGCTGAGGCCACTTGGGAGGTCGGGTTTTCTTGCCAGAAAGATTACTTCTCTTTAAGGCTCACCTGTGGCCTTTGAGTGAAGGTGTGGTCCCGTGTTGTTTGCGTGACTGGGCCCGAAGATGTTGAGTGACAGAGAGCAGCCTTCAGAACCAGCTGATCTGGGTCGGAACCCAGCTCTGCCCCCTCCATCAGCTCAGCAAAGCACTCAACCCCTTGGAATCTCTCATTTGAAAAGGTGGTGGTGGTGAAATATTGAATCGTGCGTGCCTGCCACGGTGCCCTGGCACCCCATCAGCAGGGGTCCAGGGCCAGGCACCTGCTCCACTAAATGGGATGCCCTTTACAAGAGCGTGTAGCTCTGGTGGCATAGTGGTTACGAGTTGGGCAGCTCACCACAAGGCCAGCAGTTGGAAACCCTCAGGCACGCCAGGCAGTGTGACCCCGTGGAGAGTCAGTCTCAGAAACTGTCCAATCGGAATTGGCTTGATGGCAGTGAGCCTGGCCGGGCCCCTGTGAAGACACCGCTCTCGGCCTGTGCACAGGCGGCAACCCAGGGCCCTGTGGCTGCTCTGGACACCCCTGGGAGTGGCAGGAAACAGGCTCGCCTGCCAGGCAGCTGTGCTTCTATGTTACCTCTGGTCAGGAGAGCTGTGAGTAAGGGAGGAATTCGGAGCTCTGACGACCCTTTGAGAAGCTGATCCTTAGGGGTGGCCACCCAGACCCCGAAAACCCAGGGAGCGAAACTGATGCCTGTGCGCCCCCTGCTGGCCAAGCATGGGTGAGCTCGCACGGAGGGGTGGCGGCTGCTGCTGCTCCCAGCATCCTGCCTCGGGCATCTTCCACAGCGCACCTTGCCCTTGGCATTGAGCTGGGGGCTCCTGGCTCATGGTCCACGGCCTGGGGACGGAGGAGAACCTCTGGGTGTGTATAGACCACAAATCGGAGCTCTCTGCTCAAGTGAGTGGATGAACACTTGCCGATGACCGAAGCGCTGGTCCTGCCTCCTGACGGGGTCTCCCTCTCTGCCTCCATGTGAAGTGCCCGGCTGCCCCGCCCCCCACACCTGGACACGCTGACCTGATCAGTGAGACGCAGGCAGGGGCTCGGTTTCCAGGTACTAAAGCAACCTGGTGCAAAAAGATGGCCGCCCATGAGTGCCCCTCACCTGACAGGCTGGTGACGCCACCCCCTCACTGATGGGGGGGTGGGGGTGGCCACGTGCCCTGGGACAGCACAGGGAGGCTCCCTCTGCAGAATGAGAACCCCAGAATGGAGTCTCAGGCTGACGTCAGCACCCTGTCATTGGACCACCTGGCAGGTGCCTGTTCCAAGGGCCTGGGCTGCCCAGAGAGGCTCAGCAGACTCCTCTTCCAGCGTGCCCCTCCCCCAGCCCACCCTCACCAGGAGAGACAGGAGGCCCAACACCCTCCTTCAGCCCCTCAAGGAAATGAGGCTTCCTGCTACGTGCCAGGAGCCGCCTCTCGTCCCGTTAGTCCCTCTGGGCCCCTCAGTGACCTCTGCCAAGTGCCAGCTCTGGACCTGTGATGGAGAAGCCCATCCGAGTGCCCGGTGCACCTTTCCCAACTGTGCCCTCTCCAAGGTGCCTGGCAGGCCCTGGAGGCCCCCCAACAGAGCAGTGCAGCCTGCCTCTGGGAAGGCAGCCTCACTCTGCCAGCAGACCCGAGAACTCTGGGGGCGGGGGCACCGGGACATCGCTTGCCAGCTTTGTGCTTGGAGGGTGAGGGTGGCCAGGAAGGTGGGGCTCAGTCAAGCTGACCTGAGCCTGACCCAGGGTGCCTGACCTCGGACTGTGGCTGCAAGAGGGCGGTGTCGGGGTGTCGGGCTGGCCCCCTCATCTGCCATTGTGCTGTGGGCAGATCACCCTCATTGGAGGCCTGGGTCCCCCTCCTCCACCAGCCCACCTTATGCAAGGGGGGCGGTTGTCACAAAGAGCCTGGTGACCCCCGGCCATCCGGAAGAGGCAGTCCCACTGCTGCGCCCAGCCTGGGGCGTCAGCTCCGGACGTCCCTCAGGATAGGGAGAAGAATCAACTCATCGCAGCTGAAATTTGCCCCTAAGGTGACTTGTCCAGAACCCAGGTCTACGTCCATGCGACCCCCAGCCAGACTCATTGCCGCTCCAGGACTGGGGGACTGGCACCAACTCTGGAAGGCTTCATCTCTCTCCCTCTCAGCGGCTGGTGGTTCCGAACTGCTGACCTTGGGGGGGCTAGCAGCCCGACCCAACACATAGCCCACCATGCCACCTGGATCCCTTGATCACCTGCAAGGGAGATGTGAAGTCTGTTCTTGGTGTTTCCAGAAACACCCTTGCCGTATGGGAACACAGCCCACCCGACATGAAGAATTCAGACCCAACAGAAAAACGGTGCCCCTCCCCCAGCCCACGCCCCAGTCCCCAGTCCTGGGACAGATGGAAGGACTTCCTAGGGGGTTGGGGGCCTGGGAACATGGGGCATCCGGTCCCGGTGATGAAAGGGCTGTTGGCAGGAAGATTGTGAGGGGCTTCACTTGCCATGCCCCCACACGCACCCATCTGCTCCGGGCCCTGGGCGAGCCTGGCCCAGGCACGGAGGGAGCTCTCCCAGGGCCCCAGAGGCATTGGGACTGTGGCCCAGCCCAAGGGGTGTGCTGTGAGGGAGAACACAGCCTGGCCCTACTCCCACACAGCTCCCCGGGGAGTGGGGCGAGGCTGGCGGCTCTCCCACCTGTGCCCTCGGCACCCTGGCACTGAAGGAGTAGCTAAGGGCTTCTTGGTGACACTGGTGGATGGCCTCCCGATTCGTGAGCTCCAGGCCACTTCCCACCCCTTTAGTAGCGCCCCCCCCCAAAAAAAAAACTGGGTGAAAATCCCTGTTGGGGGCTGAAGCTGGGGCCCGGGCAGCACCCGAGCTCAGGCAGCTCTGCAAGCCGTTCCCTGCACCTGGTGTGTGGCTTGAAGCCGGCACAGGAGCCCCCCTCCTCCTGCTGCTCTTCAGGGGCTGTGTGCCCCCAGGTCACCCAGCACATGTGGAAACTATTCCTCAGGGCAGAGCTCCTTGGCTCTGCACGCTCTAAATCGTGCATTTTTCTGCCCATATTTGGTGGCCTTGTGGTTGCTGGCAGCCTTCCAGGGCATGCGGGGAGGGGGGGAGGCAGGGAGCCCAGCCAGGCCCTGCCCAGTGGCTCTGGTCACAGGATGAGGGCTGTTCCCTGCCCCTCAGTGTCCCCTGGCCACTCGGAGACCCCAGGTGCGTGCTGAACTGCCTTAGAGGGGGCTCAATGCCCTGTCTTTCCTGCCAGTCCCCCAAAGAAGAACTCGCTCAGATATGTTTGTGGTCGGAGAATACCCGGCTGTTGCTCTGAAACTTCCCTTTCTAAACCCCCCCCCCCCTTTCCTGGGAATTTCCTCCCCTAAATGGAAAATCAGTGGCTGTTCATTTGCAACTCCCCCCCCAGAAAGGAAATGACAAAAACACCCGGGTGCTTGGCTAGTTTTCCCGCGGGCCTCACGCTGGGCCCCAGCTTCCCTCCAAAGCCCTGGGTCAGCTCTGGCCAGAGGGGCGCTTGGTCTCCAGGCCAGCTGCAGACAGTTTCTTCCTAGGAAAATGGAGAAGATCAGAACCAGAGTGAAAATGTTTGCTTCTCATTTGAGACTGAAGCCAGCGCACCTTTCTGCCCCAGCCTCCCCCACCCCCCACCGAGTGCCTTGGGGAGGCACAGTGCGCAGGAGCGGGGGAGAGGGTTTCTGTGGAATGACCACTTCCTCTTCCCGCCCCAGGGTGGAGTTCCAGAACAAGTTCTACAGTGGGACCGGCTTCAAGTTCCTGCCCTTCTCCTTCGAGCACATCCGAGACGGGAGGCTTGAGGAATGAGCCATGCCGTCAGCCATGCTCCTGCCACCTGTGTTTGCGTCAGCCCTGCCATCCTCCCTGCGAGGGAAGCCCGCCACCCCCAGAGAAGCTGGACAACAGCCCTTCCGGCCCTGCTAGACAGGCCCCAGTTGGTGCATTCTCACTAGGGGAGCCCCCTAGGCCAGAGTGCGTGTGAACCAGGAACTCAGCTAGACCCCTAAGACCCCAGGCTTCCCTCCCCTCCTCAGTGCCCGCCTCTCGGGAGAGTCGCCCAGAGCAGGTCCTGGCTGGCTCTGTAGTGCACAGGCCCCCTCCCTTTGCTTCCCACAGGCCTGGCTCCCAGCCTTCCTGGTGGGAACCCTGAGACCCCACCCCCAATCATGGATGCCGTCCTCCAGAGAGGGAGTAAGGGCTCCCGTCGTCAGGGGACTGTCTGCAGCCCGCCTACCCTCCAGCCCCCACCCAGTGTGCACAGACATGGTAGCCTGCCCCATGCCCACAGTGACTGCTGCCCCCCTGCCCTGTAATCATGTGTCAGCAGAAGCCCCGGCTGCTCTGAGGAGATTGGAGCCCACCACCTCAGTGACAGGTAGCCTCCCGCCCCTCGCTGCCCACTTGGCAGAGCAGCCCTGCCCAGCGCTGTGACCTGACCCAGCCCTTGTGCAGTGTGATGATTCCCCCACCGCCCTGTGGCTCTCTCCATCCGGGGCCCTGCCCTCGGCCCTCTGTGCAGACAGTCTTGCCGAATAAAATGTGTTTGACTCCAGGAAGGCTGCCTGCCTGTCAATGTGCCCTGGGTCCTGCCCAGGACACCCTGACCAGGCACTGATGTCCCCCAGAGCCCACCTGGTCTCCCGCCCCCTCCTTCCCTCCAATCTTTCTGCTTCTCTCTGATCAAAGGCCCCAGTTGCGGCAGTTCGTTTGTGAAATTCTCACCTTATCTCAAGTGTCACAGGCGCTTCCCGCTGCTGGGAGCCAAGGCCGCCCCACCCAGGGGACACAGCCTGGGGGCGGGGGGGGCTCAGAGGTCAGGCTATTTTGAGCCCTGAAGCCTGGCTCTGGTATCAAGTGGAGGCCCAGCTTGGGCGAGGTTCTGAGGTCCGCACAGTCTTCCCTCCTCAGCTGTCAGACAGACAGACAAATGCACACAGCCACATATGGCCGGTCAGTCTCAGCACGATCTCTGGATCCCTCCCTCCAGCGGCCCCAGGAAGCCCAAAGATGGGCCAGGCTACCCTTTTGAGTGTCCCACCCTAGCCCCCTCCCCAGTGCTCCCAGCCCCTAAACTCCACAATCTAGAGCGGCAGTGCCAGTTCTGACCCAAATCATAAACCCTAGCATTTATTGTAAACCGATTTTCTCCGTAGGAGCCAGGCTAGTTCAATGGGGAACAGACCTTTCACAAGTGGCTAGACCAGCACACACAGGGGGCTGAATTCCGCCCCTCTCTTCCCGTCGGCACAGCCAGGCCAAAGTAGCTCAGGGCCTGCACGTAAGCACTAAACCTTCAGGAGTCAGGAGTGACTCCCTGCGCTCGGCCCAGGCACTGCTTAGAAAGGTCCATCACCAGGAGGATTGGCGGGATCTGGTGGACTTTATAACCATCTCAAACTTCCGTACCTCCAGGGACGACATCAAGGAACCAAACGTGACAACAGGGTGAATGATCACAGACGTCCCTGAATTGTGTAAAGGCCTTTCCGTGAACTTTTTGAAGCCCCTTCGTTTTCCCCACCTCAATAAATCATGGGAAAGACAAGCCCCCCCACACACACACACACACCAGGAGGAAAGATTTGCCGATCCCCCATGTCTAGTAAAGGGTTTGTATCTAGCACATACAAAGAAATCCCACAACTCAATAGTAAAAAGACCACACCCACGCTTAAAATGGGCAGAGCATCGAATAGCTGTTTCTCCAAAGATCCGTGAAGCGCCAGGAAGCACATGGAAAGATGCCGAGTGCCACGCCCCGGCAGGGCAGTGGCGGTCAGAGGTACACGGGCTACCTCTTCACACCCACCAGAGCGGCGGCAACCTAGAGGACAATGGCGATGGTCGCTGAGGACAGACCGCAGCCCCCGTGCCGTGCCGCTGGCAGGAACGCGAGACAACGATGCAGCTGTTGTGCAAAGCAGGCTGGTAGTCGCTCAGGATGATAAACACTTACCCAAGAAGCAAAACCCAAACACAGCGCCGCGGAGCCTGACCCACAGCCACCAGGTGTGTTACAGACTACAGACCCTCCAGGACAGCGCTTCACCCGCCTCACACCGCGACCCCTTCCTGCAGCTCCTCAGGTGGAGACCCCCAACTGTAACATTATTTCCGTTGCTACTTCATCCCTGTCATTTTGCTACTGTGATGAATTGGGCAACCCCTGTGAAAGGGTCATCCCCCTCCCCCCAAAGGGGTCGAGACCCACAGGTTGAGAACCACTGCTCTCTGTATGTTTTTGCTGTAAATCTCACCTGGACTCAAGAGGGGCACCAGGATCAGAACAAGACAAATGGCCCTTGATATGCAGATGACACACTGTGCTGGCTGAGCGGAGAGGGCTTGCAGCCCATCCTGATGGAAGATGTGCGATTCAGTGAGACCCCGCACGCTCCCAACCACCAGGGGCTCGGAGGGGCACGGCTGCAATTGAGAAAGATAAGCTAAAGGGGACAGTGAGGGCATAGGGGACCCCTAAAGCAACAGACACCCTCAGACCCAGAACTTAACTCGAGACAGGTTTCTATACGGTTCTCCTCACGTATCCCGCATCTGTGACCGGTTCTCACACAAAGGGATTGTTGACAGTTTCTTAGAAGACAGACAAAAAAGCAGGAACAGCCGATCGGACCCTGGTTCGGAGCGGGGTGTAGTTGGACACCTGCAGAATGCTGTGTCCCAGCCATCGCCCAGGGGACGGGAGGGAAAGTGTTGACTTTATCTTGGACTTTCAGAGCCTCAGCTCCCTGGAAAGAGCGGACAGCTTTTCCCCATGGCCCTGCTAAACCACGGAATAGGGCGACAGCGCTGACGGACTTGGGGAAAATAAACCGTCCCATAAATGTACTCCTCTGCTACTCGGAAGCCCAGGGATTCTGAGCAGCTGGGCACACCACAAGACAGTCTGCTGCCCGGCTTGCAGCGCCGCATAAAAACCCTCACGACTGGGCCATCAGGAACACCAGCATGCGCACAAGATTTAGGTCCTCAAGGATCTCATTGTACTCAGATCTCTACTCGATGCCCACGGAAGCACCAGGCAGAATTCAAACGATGTATTACGTCAGACAGATCTGGGACAAAAAGACAAACCAAAAGCAACGATCATCACTTTGAAGACAGAGCACCGGACGCCAGCCACGTGCCTGTGACCACTGAACAGTGGCTAAGGAAGAGTGGATGCGGTTGAGTTATGGCGTGGACAGACAATACGGACTAGACCCCAGACTGCCAGAAGAACAGACAGAAGCAGGATGGGCATAATGCTCTCTGGAAGTGAGGGTGGCCGAACTGGGTCTCCCGTCCTTTAGACATGCTATTGAGAGGGACCAGTCCCCAGGGAAGGACATCATGCGTGGTAAAACAGATGGTCAACAACAACAGAAAAAGAGGAAGCCCTTTAATGAGACTGACGGACACAATGACTACAGGGGCTCAGTCATACAGTCACGAGCAGGGTGCAGCACCAGGTGATGTTTCATTCTGTTACCCGTAAGGTTGCTGCGAGTCTGAGCCCAGCGGAAGGCACTTAGTAACAACAATCCATTAACCAATCCATTGCTCCTAGCTTTAAGAGATGGGACTGACTCTACCCTGGTAGTGCTGTTGGGTCAATGTATTCGTCTGGGCACTTTAGAGAAACAAACCCACAGAAACTCATGTATAAGAGAGTTTTATAGAAAGGTTAAGTGCGCATCAAGAAAACATCCCAACCCAGTGCTGCCCAAGCCCACAAGTCCAACATTAACCCATATGTCCGACACCAATCCACAAAGTCCTCTACCTCACAAAACAGACGCAATATGCTGACTGCAGAAGGAAAACCGACTCAGTGAACGTGTAAGCATCTCAGCGCTGGCAGGGGTCTCCACACGGCTGCTCTAGCACCCAAGGCTGCATCGGGGTAGGTCCATGTGGCTTCTCCTCAGGGATGTCTTGCAGGAAGTCAGCCTTGCCAGCTGAAGCAGGGAACTGCTAAGTCAGCTGCACCCTGGTCCGACCATCACAAAGCAAGAGACCCGAGAACTAGAAAGGCGAGACTCACTGAGCCATTTATCCCTCCGCCCTTCAATTAACCCCACCTGTGTTTACCGGCCAGGTTGGCACAATAAACTAACTACCTCAGTCAAGGTTGGACTACTAACCACAAGATTGGCAGTTCAAACCCACCAGCCTCACCACAGGAGAAAGATGAGGTTATCTGCTCCCATGATGATTTACAGCCTCGTAAATATAAGAATCCACCCAGTGGCCATGGTGTCTTGGCCTCGACCCTTGGGCTCAGTGGTTAGGTGTTTGGCTGCTAATGGTGTAGGGTTGCCGGCTGGAACCCACCAAGCACTGCCCGAGAGAAACAGCCCAGCCTTGGGAACCCCACGGAGGCAGTTCTACTCTGCCCTCCGGCGTTGCTGAGTTGGAGTTGACTCAAGGGTCGTGAGTTCGGTCGAGGTTTGCTACCCTTACCCCTTTCCCGAGGCACTCCGGGAACTTGACGTCTGCTGAATTAGCCTGTTCCTTGTCACAGGGAACAATCATCTTGCGGTCCTGAAGCCATTGTGAGAGAGGGTGACGTGACGTAGCGCCAGCTCAGAGAGGCAAGTCCCAGCCTTCAGAGATGGAGGACAAGTCCTTCACCATTCTATGTCCTTCCTCCACTGCAGGCCTTCTGAGGGACTGGCCTCACGGCCTCAGGGTAGTGGGAGGGGGTGGGTTATTGTATACAGCTTGCTGCAAGCCTTGGCCACGCAGGCGAGGGCTCAGCCTGTTTACCTCCCCAAGCCATGTCTGGGCGTGGGCTGCTCCCTGGTGGCTAGATAGGGAAGCACCACATCTCACTGGCGAGCGGGGTGAAGGCCTAGCTGGGCTGTAGGAGCGAGGGGTGGGGTCGCCTGAACTTGGGGGCGTGATGTGGGGTCCATGGATGAGATGAGCCCCTAGCCAACGTATTTCACACACATTCGTTGGATAATAATTGTGTGCACGTGGTAAAAGGATCAGACTGTATGCAAAGGCCTCTCCTCCCACCAAGTTCCCAATTAAATGTCTTCCATTAGTACCCTTGGCCGTCTTCACAGCTTCACTGCCATCATGCACATCTTTAAGGGTTTGACATCTAGGGGTCTCCCACACAGGAATAGTGGGGACCCTCGCTCCCATCCATCAGCCGCCCAGTAGTTAATGGAAGTACCTGAGAGAATAATCCCCAAAAAAATGTTTACTAGCTGGGCGGGTGGCTGGAAAGTGATTTCTAGCAGTCTCCCGGCAGTCCCAGTACCCACAGAGAGACAACCAATATTTACAAAACCTTTAGGCGAAAGATGAGAGTGTATTACACCACTGGTTTGACCTTTGTTTCTTTCTTTAAAAAGTAATGAAGCTTGCAGGACATCCCAAATCATTACAAGTGCAAATATTTCACCCTAAAGGGGTTTTGT